GCATTCCTGGAGACTTCCCAGCCAAACACAATACAGAGGCAGAAAAGACAACTGTATGTGCTAGAGCATCCATGCTGCAGCCCTTCCCACATTACTGTTCCGAAAAAGTAACTACATGAAGATGAGCTATTATAAAGCATGATACAAGCAGTTACCAAAGTAGGTAATAAAAAAAAATATATAACTTGCATGGAAAAAACCTTAAAGTTAAAAAAAAGCTCTATCAAAGAGTCCTATAGTCCTACTATTGCTTATTTCACTTTGATCTTCAGAGTACAAGGTGGGTCTTTAGAAAGAACCAGTGAGATAAGGAATGAATATTACTGCTTCAAAACTATCCATATTTCAGATTCTAGAAAGAAAGTCATCCTGTATCTAGTTCAGCAATTTAACTAAGTCAGAACTAGATGCACATCAAGGAAAGAACTAAGGTTTTCTACAGGTATCACCTAAAATCAGAACTGTGGGACACTGCTGAATTCTGAAGTTATCAAAAAAGTTTGTGCTTATATTAAAATATATTTCTATTTTACTGGTCTTCACTCAGCACCCCAGTTAAACAAGCTGCATAAAAATTAGTCCATTGCAACTACATTTATAAGAGCGTTTAATGTGAGAGGAGGTCCAGAATATATTTTCAGAGATAAGAGCATTTCACAAACTATTGAATTATCATCTTATGGTGTGTGTGAAGATGTTTCTGCTTTGCTTGCATGTTGTCTTCTACTTGCCTCAGAAAATGTCTATGCCTACAATACAGTACTACAGCATCTGTCAGAGGTGTGGAAACTGAAAACTTCCATCACCCAAAGACAGCAAGGAACCGCTACAACACCTTCAGAGAATCAACCCATCTTTAACAATCACGAGCCAGTGGCGTTACAATTCAACTGCAATCCTGTTTTAGGAGTAGCTTGAAAGCCTACTCTTCAGCAGAGTTCTGGGATGGTATGTTATTCTGAAGCATCCTCATTTTAATTGTTTGTTAACTTATAAGCAAATGACAACAGAAACTTAAAAATGCTGAATGTATAGTACTACTGGAATTCCTGGATAGTTGTTCTGAATCTACTTATTCATTAAAATTTAATGTTTTACTGTGCAAAAATGAAGAAATTTAATCACCACTGTTAGCCTGAGCAGAAATGCTATAATGATGGCAATAGCCTCTTTCACATTGAATTCTATGACGATACAGGCAGAACAAAATCTACTTCAAATCTTGTATCAACACACAAGACCTGAAGATGAGATCAAATTGTAACACTGTTTCTGAGATGAAGAATGTATACAGAAACTGAAACCTTTTAAAGAAAAAAAATAGATCTGAGGATCAGATTCTTAAACTACTTTGAAATTTACAATTCTATATTCTCTACTGTCACCTCTTTCGCAAGAATCACTATATCAGTGTGGAAAAAACTCTCATTCTATTAGGGAAGAACCAGTAATTCAGATTCCTACTACAAAAAGTCAAGCATTGTTTTACTTGTTACCAACAAGCCTACAGATCTTACTCTAAAGACCACAGGAAGCATGTAATACATTCTCAAACTGAGTAAGGTATTTGCAACCAACATCTCTGGTAAACTGCTCTTTCCTCATCAGAGAAGGGGGCTAGCCACCAGTGACAGCTGAAAATTTCAACACTCCCAAGAGAAAACATACCAACACAGAAACTTAGGTTTACCTCTGCAGTCATGGATGACATTATTATATTGACAGTCTGACTGATGAGGAAATAACTTCAGGGCCAAATCACAAACAAATTCAAGGAAAATGTGACTGAACTGCCACAGCTCAGAAACTACAAGCGAGCTATACAAAATACATGCAACATGCTGGTTACTCAAGATGAAAACCAAACAAAAGGTATTTTCCTTTGCAAAGGCTCCACTAAACTTGCACATCCAGAAATACCATATAGCAAAATATCATCACTATTCCCTCAGATGTTACTGACGTGCTTGATCTACCTTCAGTAACCACAGTGACACAGCTCAGTCCAAACACGGCAGAAAAAATGCAAATAGAGAGAGACATGAGGAGATAAGGTCCCAGGTACTGGAACACGAAGCCCTTCAACACTTCCTCAGTTTTCCTGATGCTGCTTTAAAAGGGTAGTAGAAAAGGAGAAAGGTTCAGATCACCTAAAGCAAGGGCTCTTTATCTCCATTTTACAGAATATAGTCAGAAATTAAGTCTTCAGTGAAAAAATAAGCAAAAGTTACCTGAACAGTCTCAACAAAGAGTGAAAAATCTGTCATTTTAATTAAGGGGGCATTTTAAGGCAAAAGTATGTCCAATCTTATGTGCTCCGTTAGTATAGAATGCTGCCCTGCTGTTACCTCTGACTCAGCCTTTCTCCAGATCTTATGACACGATTTGATACAGCAACTGAGCTAGACTGAAGTAGAAAGTATATTTCCTCTTGCCAAGAAAAACTTTTAAGATTTATTTTATTTTATTTTATTTTATTTTTTTTACAATTTTGACAGCAATACTGTTCATTTTGAGAAGTCTGTAGTCTTAGGAAATACAAGACATACACAAAGGAGTTAAAAAAAAATCTTTAGTCTATTCCTGA